TCCTAAATGATGTCTCCACCTACTCGCCTCTGGATCCCTCCGCAGACCAGTATGTGGAAGGCCTAATGAAAGAATGGCATACACCAGGCCTTGCCATTGCAGTGATACATGAAGATAAGACCTGGGCCAAGGTATCAAATTGGACTTCCTCCTTCCCTCGAACCCAGTGTATCTTCGTCACTCCTCCATCACTATCAAAGACACTATAAGAACCAACCATTGAGTACATGTCTCGGATCAAGGATATTGCCTTTGTCTTCAATCTCAATATTGCCCAGTCTTGTGATCTATGGATGTAAAAACCATATCCTGACACATATCCAGGGTTACGGTTACGCAACACTTCCAAACGATACGGAGGATGAGGTAGACATCACACCGCATTCTCTTTTCTATGTCGGCAGCACGACCAAATCATTCATTGCAGCTACAATTTCTCTGATCGTTGATAACAGCAGCAACGATATAGACTGGACTACTCCGTTACACAAGATTGCCCCCAATGATTTCGTTTTGGAGGACGATTATCTGACAACCCACATCACCTTTGAAGATGCCCTCTCACATCGTACTGGTATGCCTCGCCACGATTTCACTTGGCTCTTTTCAGACCCATCCTGGCAGGAGATGGTTCGCGACCTACGCCACCTCCCCATCAGCGCTCCATTCCGAACAACGTGGCAGTACTGCAATCTGATGTATCACACCGTAACCTACATGATTCAGGTCATCACAGGTACATGGACTGGCGATGTACTTCAGAAATACCTTTGGGACCCCCTTGGCATGAACGAGACTTATTTTGGACTTCCCGAAGCAATGAAATGTCAAGATGAAAATTCAGCCTGCAATTTGGCTGTGGGTTATGTCTGGAACAACGAATCCTCGACTTACGAGTCCGTACCATGGGAGGATATGCCACCCCCAAACGGTGCAGGAGGAATTGTCTCGAATGTCATGGACTTCACCAAATGGATTCGTGTGTTGATGAATGAGGACGGTCCCATCTCCAAAGCTTCGCACACTGCGATGAAATACCCACATTCAATTGAGGAGGCAAAAAGCTACCCATTCACTGGACCTACGTGGTATGGATTCGGGATATTCGGAGCGTATTACCGTGGGCACCTCGTATACTTTCACAATGGCCAGATTGGAGGATATGTGGCTCGGATGACATGGATTCCTGATCTCAAATGGGGAGTGGCAACTATGCAAAACGCAGCCAACTTGGCACAGGATGTGTTGACACATAAGCTCATCGATGACTTCCTTGAGACACCCGAGAATGAAAGGGCGAAGATGAATGAGTAGTGAGTTACCCTTTCCGAGACTGATATGACACCCGCTGACTGAGATTTTCAGCTACCGAAATCTAACAGAAGAAGGGTATAGGCAAGTCGCCGCTGCCCCAAAAGAACTCTTCCCAAATGCTAGCTCCATTCCTATCCAGCCTGCACTTCCGCTACAAAGCTACGAAGGCGTCTATCACCATCCAGCATACAGAAGTGTCAATGTCAGCATGGAGCCTCCCGAAGGCGTCACGCCGCTACCATCCTCCATTGAGCACCCATCTGGTAGCGCGGCGTTACCATTATACATTACCTCCACAGGGAAGAGTTTCCTGAACATCCTGCTTACCATGCGTCATGTAAGCGCAGAATATTGGCTGGTGGAATTTCGTCAGCATCAGCGTGACAAGCGGATGCCTGATGGGGTAATAAAGGGGAAGTTCGAGGTTGGCGTAGACGGTAGGGCGGAAAGATTGCTCGTTGTTGCCGATCCGTTAGTAAAAGGGAAGAAAGGGTGGATAGTTTTCGAGAGGATATGATGATCTCGGACTACGATTTATGAAATTGGAGGGAAGCAAAGGCCGATTTTTTATATTCGTTGTCACACGCTGCTGCGTACACATGATAATCAGACTACATATCTGATAAGATCAAGTCAATTCTCGTATTTCTCCAGAGTGTTAACAACCCAAAAGGCGACAAGCATTCTTCCTATCTTCCTATCTTCTAGATCGAACAGGGAAGATGCCTGGAACCTTTCTAGTGTATATCTCGGCTCGCTTAAAAAGATCGCATGTCGCGTGAACAATTTCCCGATTTCGGAAGCTAGCGAGCCAAGATCTAAATTCGTCCCCACTCCGAACAACACCACACGTCCACACCCGGTCGAGGCTTGAGATAGTACATCTGGACGAGTCAGTACAAGATCGCACATCCTCAACAAAGGTATGAATGCAACAGCTTTCAGAAGCTTATATCACGATGAAGTCGAATAGCTGTATTGCGTGGTCGCCGGACAGGCGTGAGCAGCTCTAGGCTTCGCCAGAACTATCACAATCCTGCGTCCAACGGTCTTCCCCTCTAGAAGACCTTCAATCTACTACGCCGCTCGGACCTACAACTCAACGGCAATACTAATGGAGGATACCGCCAGCGGCGCCCACGAAGGTTGAAGCGCCCACGAAGATTGTTCCAAACCGAGGCACACTTGTCCTATCCCGCGGTATAGCCCTACACTCTAGTCGCTTTCGGACTGGCTTTCGGAATGAACCCTTCTTTCCAACGATAGCTCATTCATGAACTACACGCTACGGACAAGGTAAGTACCACCAGAGTATAGCCGTTAAAGATGGCCGCGCAAGTCAGGAACTACCCAAAACACTTGATGTAGATCTGTGGTTCTTCCTTTGCTTCGGACTCTATTACTCTCCGGTGTACCCGCTTTTCATATACAGGTCTTCTGAGACCATTCTGATTTATTGAGACGCCGAATTTCGCCTCGTCCTTTCATTCTTGCGAACATGTTTGGATTCGCTCTTGCGGCCTTTGGGCTGCCTCTGCTCGGCCTTGTCGCTGCCGACCATGCCATCTACACGGATTCGAACTACCAAGAGATGGCATATGGCCTTTACCCAAACCAGAACTACACCTCCAATCCGGACGTGAACTCGCCAATCTTTCAAGTAAACACGAATGCAACCGACGATGCGCAGCTGGCATCCCATGTCTTCATTTCTCCTCGTGGAACCGCTGTCAGCGCCGTGGACAATGGTGTCGCACCAATGATCTTCGATAGCTCAGATCTTTCTCTTGTCTGGGCAAACAGCTCGTACGGTCAAACATTCGGTATCCGCGTACAGGAGTACAAGAACGAAAACTACATCACATTCTGGTCTGGAAAGCCTCAAAGTCAGGGGTATGGACGTGGTTACTATATCATGCTGGACTCATCTTACAACATCGCCTACAATCTCACGGCAAAGAATGTCTCCGTTTTGGGTGACATGCACGAGTTCCAGCTCACTGATGCCGGCACAGCTCTCATCACAGTATATGAGCCAATGAGCTACAATCTGACCTCCTACGGTATCGAAGATGGCTGGATTGTTACCTCGATCTTCCAGGAAATTGACATCGCTACCAACGACCTCATCTTCTCCTGGAGCTCCATCGACTACTTCAACACCACCACCTCCTACGCCGATCCCGGTAGCACGGGCGACGCCGAAGACAATCCATACGACTACTTCCACATCAACAGCATCGAGAAGGACTCCGAGGGAAACTACCTCATCAGTTCCCGTCACTGCCACATGATAACCTACATCAACGGCACAGACGGAACCCCGATCTGGACTCTCGGAGGCAAGCTCAACGACTTCGAGGACCTGAGCGACGGCAACGCGACCAACTTCGCCTGGCAGCACGACGCGCGCTGGTACGGCAACTCCAACACCGTCCTGACCGTCTTCGACAACGGAGCCGCGGACTGGGTAGACACGGAGAACGCGACGCGCGGTCTACGCCTCGAACTCGACTACGACGCCATGACTGTGACGCTGCAGCAGGACTACCTGTCCCCAGACGGCATCCTCTCAGAGAGCCAGGGCTCCGTCCAACCACTGGACAACGGCAACGTGTTCATGGGCTACGGCAACAACGCGGCATTCACCGAGTACAAGCACGACGGAACCGTGGTCTGGGACGTGCAGTTCGGCATCATCGGCAACGCGAGCGTGCAGAGCTACCGCGCGTACAAGATGAACTGGACCGCGTACCCGGCCTGGGATCCGAGTATTGCGTCCAAGGATGGCAGCGTGTATGTCAGCTGGAATGGCGCGACTGAGGTTAAGAGCTGGGCGCTGTTGGCGAGTAACGAGACGATGAAGTTGAATAACGCGACGGATTTGTGGAAGGAGGTGACGAGGGATGGGTTTGAGACCAGCGTGGATGTCGAGGGTCAGTACAAGTACGTCAGGGCCGCGGCGCTGGATTCGAAGGGAAACGTTTTGGGTGCTTCGGATGTGGTCGAGGTTAAGATTGGCAATGTCACGTCTGCGAGTGGGAATGTTACGTTGAGTTCGAGCTCCACGACATCCAGCGGCTCCGGCGCCCAGCAGAACGCACTCCCTTCTGCGACTTCCACAGCTGCTTCGAGTAGCGCAACCAGCACACAGACTGGAGCAGCTAGTTTGACGAAGGCGCCGATTGCGCTATGCGTAGCTGCCGTGGGTATGCTATTCTTCGCCGGGCTTTAAGAGACGGCTGAAATGCTCACTAAAGAGCAATAATGTTTAATGCGGAGGAACAAGCATGGATGGGATGAAAAAGTTGATATTAACCGTTTGACGCTGCCGTCTTCGACACGGCAGACTATAAGATACCCTTTCGTAACACATTCTCGTACTAAAGCGAACCCCTCTCTGTTCACATCAAGCTTAGGACCGCTTGAGTACCTAGGCATCCCAGTTGTTGTGGTTGTCACGTCGCCAAAAAAGATCAGTCGGGGAGATTAGGCGCCATAGTGTTCCACTATACGTTGCCAGTGACCACATACAGGCTTCCTCTAGGGTAACATGACATGAAAAGTGAAAGTTATCTTATGATGATGTTTTTAGAGATGCTTCCTGTGCTCAGAGCAGGCTCCACTCTTATGCATCGCTGTACAAAGAGTCATATTGAAAATATATCAGAACTCTCTATACTCATGGTCGGATGGTGTAGTGGTTATCACGTCTCCTTTACATAGCGGATTCTTCCGGATATGTGCGGAGAATGTCGGGGGTTCAAATCCCCCTCTGATCAAATTCTTTTTTGCTTTTCTGTAGCAACTTTGGGACTCTGCCAGGTGTAAAACCAGTCACATGTACTGTAGTGCTCGCAGCTTTCCTTCTACGAAAAGCACTACGCTCATGCCCTGCAGATGTGTCGGAATATCTTTTGCTGCATCGAAACGTCCCTATGTTCCTGGCTAGCTCGAGATTGCCCGGACGGGTTGAGGGGCCGATCGTCGAGCTTCCTCCGCATTCCTGAATCCTACCAATCAGCGTCAGGCTGTTCCTAACATCAACCTCGACTAACGTCATCAGCATCGCGCCTGTTCGGAGTCAAACGCTTACTGTTCCCTTCTACACGTCCCTAGCAACATACATACTCACATCTTGACATCTCCTTACATCTAAGCTCAAACAATACGAACAAAATGGCAGGCATCTCATCCACCGAGTAAGTGAACCAACCACAAACCCTAGCAACACCACAAAGCTTCCCAGATCTCGCCATCCCCCTCCACCTCGAGATTCAGATCCTCCAATAACAGCAACTCAAATGTCACCATGACCACACACTGACATACCAACCCAGTCACCCCTACCACCCAGCAACAGTGCACTGGCCTCTAGCCTTCCTAACCGCCTCCTACGGCCTCGACGCCCTACACCCAATCCTCCCATCGCTCCCAAAGATCCTCACCAACCACCTGCCGGCTTCGGCCGAGCTGTCGCGGATCTCCTACTACGCGCTCTCCGTCGGCCTGCTCACCGCCCTCCCCTCGATCGCAACAGGCGTGCCGCAAATGCTCAAGATGATCAAGTCCCAAGGTGTCTACGAGCAGGACGGCAAGACGATCAAGCCAAAGGTCAAGAGCGTGGTCGTGCACGCTTTGCTCAACGACATCATCGTGGCCGGGAGCGCATACTCCTGGTGGTGCAGGCGGCAGGCCAGCAGTGTGGGGATGCTCAAGGAGGGGTTGAACCCGGTTGCGTACGAGCCGGCGGGCTGGATGGTCGCGCTCAGTGTGGTGTTTGGGGGCTTGATTCTTTTCGCGGCGAATATTGGGGGTACCCTTGTCTACAACTATGGCATGGGCGTGGGTATCGGCAAGAAGGGCAAGTCTTCGTGAACTAGGCGATTGGAGAGGGTACTACGAGTGGGCTAGATAAGCTTGAAATGGAAAGAGTGGATTCTGTTTCGGGTGAGGTATGTGTTACAAAAGGGTATCTTGTAGTCTGCCATATCAAAGACGGCAGCGTCAAACGGTCAATATCAGCGCCATGTATACGTAAAGTGCTAGTGGTACTTGCGGCCGCAGAACTAGCAGACCCTGCTAGCGCCGGTCAGCGATATGATAGGAATGGATGGAAGCTATGCACATACCCGGGAAAGCTCGACCTGGTGGTCATGTAGGTACGGGTCCTCCAGACAGAGCCGCTAGAAGCCATTCATTAGCAAGCAGGTTATATTGACAGAGCAAGATCCAATCTTACCATGGCCACGGTCAGGGCTAACGGTGGTACTCAGAGCCTGCATCTCTGCTAAGGCTACCTCATCAACTTCACCATGGCTAAGCTCCTCGACTTCGTCGTCCTCGAGTCTATATTCTCCAGCGTTATGATGGCTGGCTTGGGCGAACTGAAGGGCATCATCTTTTGCGATAAACCGTACTTCGAGTGCCTGTTGGTTGAAGTGGTCGCTTGAGATCTCGATCTGGTCTGCCATTTCATGCAGTTCCGGATAATATTCCTCATCGTACTCAAATTTGTAGACATTGGACGTCCATGTCTCAATAAGTATGTTGTTTCGAGCCTCATCGCGGTCATCGAGCGATGTAGGGTTCGACCTCCAGCCGGTCCGCATAGCTTGCTTATGACGGCGATGACCTACAGAGAGGTTGCATGGGTGACGGAGGTATACAGTAAGTGGTAAGCCGAGGAAGTCTTCGTACTGCTTTTCGTCGGAGCAGTACTGGTAAACGATCTCGAGGAATAGGGTCGTCTCGGTATCCTCTGTCGACCAGTACTTGTTACATTCCAGCTTCATGCGCTGTAAACGCTCGGCGCATAATCTAAACCACATGCACCAACCCCATCCTTCGGGCATAGTATCCACAGTGCCGATCCACGGTGCACCATCGCCGGCGCGTGGAAGTGTCATTTTGAACTTGAGCTCAATCTGACCCACGATATGTAGTAGGATGGAAATCTCTTCCTGGTCCCAAGGAGAGACATTACCTGCTGGTCTGAGAATGATCCTCCGACTGAAACCCTGCCTCCATGGCCCATCAGGGTCGTCCACTGGCACGCCGAGCTTAAATTCCGCGATGTCTTGCTCTACGCGGTCTGCGTCTACGGCGGCATTCGACAAGCGTGCCGATTGCTTGAACGGGACTTTGCAGCGAACCTCGTGGCGCTTGTCGAGCGTCTTGAGCAGCTCGCGTCTATCGTCAGCGGTCTTCTTCGTCGTCCTGAACTGTTGGATATCGCTAAGTACGGCCGGCAATGAAGTGAACTTGAATCGATTGATAGCCGCCGCGGTAATTATGACATTGTTTGCGCAGTGGTATCGGAGCTGCCAACATTGCTCGTGTTCGTTCCAGTATGGCACGTAGGGAAATACGGCCTCGACACTCGGGATCTGGGGGTGGCCATTGGGCAAGATCTCCCCAGATGCGCCTCGAATCTTGATCTGCTTCTGGCGGTAACCATCAATGTAAGAGTCGATACCTGTGATAGACTCGTTGAGCTTTTTGAGAGCACCGTCGAAAACAGCTTGGTTGGCCGGGCTTTCGAAGAGCTGATTCATCTGACGACACTCATGTCTGAGACAATGTCGAAGTCGGCTCTCGATTATGCTCCCAACAAGTCCAGGCCCACCCTTTTGCTGTTCGATGTTCTGGCAAAACTTGCAAATCATCGCACCAAGACGGCTCATGGTTCGTGAGCTGCATAAAGTGGGTCTCAAACAGCGACCACATGCGTGCAGTACCCGCGTGGCCTCAGCCTCGTCGCAAAAGCAGGCATTGCTAGGCGGGTTGTGGGCAAGGATCTGTGCGTTGACAATGTCGGCAATTTCTGCACCTGCAATGAAAGCCTGCTTGGCATCTCCGGTATCGATGAAGGTTTTAATCAGAGCAGAGCAGACAGGTTGAGTCCATGCAACGTTGAGTGAGCCGCGAATGTTGATAGTTGGCCATTCACGGCCTTTAAGAGGGTTGTCCTCTTGCACGGACGTGGATGCACTTATCCTAATAATGCGTGAGGCTCTCGTCGGCCAAATAGCGTATAAAGGACGATCGTTGTAGATCCCATAGTATGCTGATCGCACACAATCAGTAGGAGTTGAATGGGGGAAGGATCGATTGCTTACTTTGAGCTTTCCCAACGAGAACTTGTTGCCAGCATTGGCGAAGCCTGTTCAGATCTTGTTTCGTCGTAATCATGTCCGAAAGTCGGAAGGAGAGGAAACGTGCAAACTTGGCCGCTTGAGCATGTGCTTCATATGGAAGGCTGGAATTGGTCCCAATGTCGGGATCGACTCCGCTTGGCCAGACCTCGTCTCCGGCCGCGTTGAGCTCTTTTTCCTTAGGTGTCATTTTCCCGCCTCCAGTGAATTCCACGAATTTAAACCTGTCTGGTACCTCTGGTATGTCAGCACCCATCACCGTCGCTGGCCACACGTCTAGGTCCGCGCTGCCAAACGCCCCTGTGTTCGCGTCAACGAAGGGTATGTTGACTTTGTACTTTATGTATTCCTTGTGGGATGGCCCATGGTCTGCAGTCGGGCTCGGCCAAGGAATGTAGCGGAATGTACCTCTTCCGGATCGCAGAAGGGCAGCATGAGTCATGAGTCTGCCTAGACCACCTATATTTTTAGGTAGGGGCAGCGGCCAGCGATTGAGTAAATCTTTCAGAGCTGTTACCACTTGATCTGCGGCGTCAGTGTCTTCCTTGGGAACGAATGTGTAAGGAAGCCCCATTCTCTTGGTTTCCTTTGTGACTGTAGAGCTTGTTCCACCAATTGTATCCTTGATGGTGATTTTAAACGTCCAGTAGTCTTTTCCTGTCTCTCTCAACTTGACACAGGAGCAGGACCTGCCGGCCCGTGGCGGCAGGTCAAAAACGGTGGATATTAGCCTTTCCTGCGCGTCTGGGGTATAATTCGCTTTTTCGAGAATCTGCAATCCTTCCAATGCCGTCTGGATGCGATTGAGGTTCGACAAGTCTCTCTGACCTGTATTGCCCACGGCGATATGGATCTGCTCGGCTGACTCCACATCTGTGAAGCTGTGCGAGATAGAACCACGCTCTATGCTGCGTTGGGCATTGGTCTCAGTGCCGCGGACGGTGCCTTGTGCGATACTTCCAATGAGGTCTGGCGAGTTGTTATGTCTCCGGCTGGGAACGAGCTTGGATGTTTTCGATCTCTTATTTGGTTCAGGGTGCGCAGAGTCTCCCTCTGAGTCCTCCGCATCCGGTGCAGCTCGTTTGGTCATTCTGAATTCAGGACTGTATCGGAAAGTATTAATCAAGTACTTAGGTCCATGACAACCTCCTTGACCCTACCTGGTGATCTCCAATATATGGACACGGTTGCAGAGGCAATGACGTTGCTAGCTGCGCAGAATGTTCAGCCGGTACACAACAAAGAAGTTTGCTGAAGGTAAGGTTATTCGGATGGTTTAAGGACTTTCCACATACCGCTCCACCTCTTCAGCGCTGTTGGGTCGCCGGAAATCTGACGCAAAGCAAACGCGCTCGTGTTACATTCACTTACCGCCCCACTTCCCTAGTGCTGCTGGCAATTTCGGGTAGCTACTTTCGTATTCCATTCACTCTGCATCTCCCAGCATTCGCGCAGCGCTAACCATGTTAGTGCCACTAGCGTGTTCGGGACGCGACAGCTCTTTGCAATACTAAGGGGTACCTACTTACTTGCAACTCCTTCCTGCCGAACTCGCGAGCAACCTCGCACTCATAATTTACGCAACCTTAAGCGCGTCACTAATCGCCCAGCTCTTCCCTTGCACA